TAAAAGAAATTTTGAATAAAAAATATTTTCTCAATTATACAATAACTAGTAAAATTAATATTTTAAGTAGAATATTTTAATGCAAAAACTAGGTAGAAATGCGTATATATACATAAAATAATACTCTGCTGCTAATAATATTTTAATTAAAGAGAAGAACAAGATTCTTATATCTTCCCTTTTTTTTTGGTAGTAAATTCTTTGATTAATAACCTACGTTGCTGAGTAGGAGTTTTTAGATAGATGACTGCCATATTATTCGCGAAGATATAAAGACAAACAAGAACACCACTCGATGAAGGATGACTGTCAAATGATATAGCGAAATAAAACAATTAACCAAAATTGAATTCTGATTGTATTTTGAAATGATAAACGTTCATATAATTAGGAATAACCAATAAGTACGAAGGAGAGGTTATGAAACTTTGTAAATAAAATGAATCGTATGGCAAAAACAGAACAGTATCATAGAATAAATTAAGGTTATTTATGCAAGTCGAAGAAGAGTCAAGTCACTTGAAGCAGAACGTTGTACCTGTTGTGCGGTGAAATGTAGTGTCACAGGCACAACAGCCAGCTTAAAACTTGAAGCGAGGTACAAAGCCGTTTTCTCGTCGCGCGAACAGATCAGCGAGCCTCCCCTCACTTTTTCTCAACGGCGCCTAGAGAACGTCCAATTCGTTTGGCGACGTGAGGTTACACGTATAATCAATAAGAATTTTGTATCGTAGAAAAGTCACACGATATTACTCTGTGAGTAAAAAAATGTCAAAGAGCAGGCTACTTGTAAACTAGACCTGACATCATGACGGTTCTTACGAAGCACACAAATGGTCGTGATACGTGATTGCGAACGAACGACAATGGGGGGGTCTCTGTATTGTCCGTATTACATCGCCTCCCTCCCCCCTCTCTCATTCACTCACTCATTCTCTTTCTCTCTCTCACTCGCTTACTCTCTCTCTTTTCTTCATTACTTCCCTAGATAATTCTATCTTTTTCGCACCGACCAATACAAGGTTAAACGCTCATCAACGTGAAACTGCATACGCTGCCGTGTTCGTGAATTTTGGTAGTCAACCATTAAGTACTCTTTCAACGTACCTCGCAAAACATAATAAAGCATCGTTTCTTCTTCCTATTTTTTTGGTTTCTGTCTCTTTCTTTCCCTCTATCTAACTACCTTTTTCTTTCTTTCTCTTTCACGGCATAGCGCACTTTGCTTATCGAAAGAAAGGGGAAAACTCATCTGGAAAATGGCTGCCGCCAGTCAGTTACCGATTTATTCCTTTCTTGCATGGCTACTTTTAACGTGAACAATAACAAAAGAGGAAAAACAAATGTTGCTAATACTCTCTGTATCTGACGCGATAGATCGTTGCTGCGATGAAAACACCGATTACGCGGCAGCACAAATGTATATCCGAGACGCCGGCACATACACGTAATAATAATAACACTACTTGCTACTCCGAGAGAGTATACGTACTAGTTTTTTCCTCTAGAAATCTCACGGTAATTTTTTCTTTTGTCACCTACACACACGAAAGCAACGTAGCACTCGCTAACACCGTGATTTATCACAGCAGAATCACTGTAGTGAACAATAACCATCGGCGTCTTAAGATCACTCTGATTTTCCTTCGCACGTATTCAACGACAGTGACGTCGCTTCACCATGCACTCGCATGAGTTCCTCTGTCTCACTCGTATCCATAGTCTCGTTCGCCACCTTACGACTTCGGCTATTATCGGTGAACTACGATGTTTATTCGGCACTGACCAGTCGCGGTTCTCACTAAGATCGTCCTTGCTCTCCTCGTTTACCTATTGCTTTGCTACTTTCGGGCAATAGGCACTGCTACCGTTAACTAGTTTCTTAATTAATGTAAATATGTGCAAACCAATTATCTCAAACAATGACAATTCATACTTTTTTAATCTTTTATTTTATTTGAAATGTTAATTTTTATTATTTATCTGATAACGATTGGCAAAACTCCTTTATTACAGAATCATATCGTAAGTATATACCAATAAAATCACACATGTAGATAAAAAAAGTATTTCTTGCAATAACAATATATTAATTTTATGTAAAAGTTTTTCTTTATTTTAAATTATTATTTTACATTTTAAATTTATG